TATATTGACGGTATAAAAATTACGAATAAAGCAGTAAGATGTTTGGGAATATTCATAGGGCATGATAAGGAAGAATGTTACACTAAAAACTGGATGAAAATTTATCACGATATTGAAAAACTTTTTGAATCTTGGAAAAGAAGAAAACTAACGTTATTTGGTAAAGCATCTAAACTTACATACGTTGCCTCAATACTTAGTCTTCCTGATAATGCTTTAAAAAAATACAACGTCTAATTTATAACTTCATTTTGGGATAAAAATGAACGAATTAAAGAAACACGCTTATAGGTAGCATTTCAAAAGGTGGCCTCTCAATCGTTGATATAGAATGTAAATTAAAAGCTTTAAAAGCAGCTTGGGTACCTAGATTGTTAAAAGGCAAAGGTATTTTGTACAACATTTTTTATGGCTATTGTAAAAAATCAAATTTTGATGTTCTCTTTGTGTTAGTTTTTTCTGATAGAAAAATAGAAAATATGGAAAAATTAGAGAAACTACCTATATTTTATCAACAAATGTTATGTTGCTTTAATGAATGTAAGCCCTGTTTTTTGAACAAAATGTCTCCCGATAATGTTCTTCGACAGCCGATATGGAACAATTGTAACTTTGTTTATAGGGGAAATACATTATTTTTTAAAAACTGGATAGCCAGAGGGATTTTGTATGTTAAAGACTTATTTGACGATGATGGTAATTTTGAATCATTGTTAGATTTTTCTAATTGTATAAAAAACAAGTCAAACTGGTTGTGTGGATTTAAAATTCTTTCATCTGTTTTCAAACCTTTGCTACTAAAGTATGATTTTTCAAATTGTAAGCTTGTTAACATAGGATACAAAAATTATTTTCTTTTCTACACAGGACATGTTAATATCATAGATCAAAGGTGTAACTTTTTTATGACAATCTCGTTCACAGAAAATTTTGTAAACCATGTTATCAAATAGTTTTAAGCAACGAATTCAGTGTTGAAACTTCAGAATGAAAAGATATATATCAATGTAAATTATATGACATACCCGATAAACAACTTACAGAATTCAACTATAAACTTTTAAACAAAATTCTTTGTAATAACTTTTATCTCAGTAAATTGAAAAAAGAAACGAGTAGGCATTGCACATTATGCCACGTGAATAAAACTTCAAAACATCTCATTTTTGAATGTAAAAATGTTGGTGGAATATGGGATAGATTGAGTTTGTACCTGAAAATATATATCAAACGGAAACATGTAATAATTGGATTTAGCTCTGAGCGCAATAGAAAAATTGTATCACTCAACACACTCATCTCATATGTTGCCTGTAGGATTTACAAATATAAGATGTATTGTCGAATAAATTCCTTAGACGAAACTAGTTATAACATCTTCAATCACGTTAAATCTTCAATTTTTTGTATGCTTCCATTCTAAAAAATTTGAAATCACTTGACTACAATCTTTTTAAAAATTTTGCATAAAATTGCCTGAAGGTAATATTGTCATATTGTTTTTAATGTAATTTGTCTGTTATATACATTTCACTGTTTGCTGGTATGAAGAATTGAAATTAAATTAGAAAAAAAATTTTCGGCACGTATATTTTGTCCTTTCTGTCTGTTGTCAACTTGAACCATTGCCATGACTTTTGAACAGTGAGAGATAGTGACTTCATATTTGGTATGTGTACTACGATAATTAAGTTCTTTGAAATGCAACAAGGTCAATGACAGTAAAACTTTGTCATCATGAACCTGAATTGAAGAGGAAAAATCTTTGAGATCTCTCAAAAAATTTGAATGAAAAAGAGGAAATGTTATTAACTGATTTCTTGCTAGTCAGTATTTTTATGACTTTAAGGAAGCTCTAAAAACTGCACACTAAAGAGCTCTACTTTAATATTGGGTAGTTTTATGCAGTTAGAGTGATCTGCCCTTAGATTGTGATTAAGAAAAAAATTATTTTACAGTCAGTTGGGTTATTTGTAATATATTAAATTATTATAAGCATTATCCAAAATCAAAAATAAATAAATAAATTGATTATTTTCATAAATTTTCCAAATGTATTAAGTAAACAGCAATGATTTCTGCTCACAAATATTCCATTGTCTTTGAAAATTTCTTGGGGAAATGACGATTTGTTCTAAATAAATAAATAAAAGGCTCATTATGCACATCTTTATATGATAGATTTTTTTTCTCTCCAAAGATTAATTTTTGTAAGTCTAACACTAAGTTTTTAGAGCGTCCTCAATTTTTTAGATACATGTATTCAATAAAATTATTTGAACTTTTTGAAGTATTACATTTTGGTAAATTCTACGATAGTAAAATGTTATATGGTTGAAATACTTTAAAAAACAAAAACAGCATGCATGCATGACAAAAGGGCTTAAATTTTTAATGTCTCTTAATTTTTCAGTGACATTAAAACAGGAATTTTCATCACCAAAAGACATATTTCACATTGCTAAGAGTTGTCTCCAATTGTCGGTGTATCGCTCATTTTTCTCACTTTGTCCTTTGTAAGTTTCAATCTTCAAACAATATTGGACTATAACAATCTGTATCTGTATTGCCAGAGTATGGGGCAACATAAAAATCATAATAAACACGTTCATACAGATTTCATTTCTAACATATTGACCCCCAAAGTTGGTACGGTTATAGAGGGAAAAAAGCGTCTTAAGCCGGTTGACCCAAGATTGACCCTGCAAAGGGGAATAACTTTTGTAAATGTGAAAGTTGTCTATGCTTTACCATATAGATCTAAAACAGACTGAATTTTGATCCGCCAATTCATGAACATGATGAGTGGATGTAAATAATGTTGGTCAATTTTAGTAAAAAAAATATTAAATTCCTTGTTTATAAACCTAGTGTACATGCAATACTGACATAAAATGACTCATAAGATACATGTATACTTACACCATGATAAAAGCATAGGTGTCCAATGCAGCATATGATAAATCATTAACTTACAAGTACATGTATATATTTGTATCTATACTGTAATACATATATATTGCATTGTTTTAAGAGTCCTGTTCTGTGGATGCCCTTAGACAGTGAGTCTACCCATCACGCCATCTGATATCACTTGTTCTGAGCATATTTCTCTCTCAAACTTAAACTACAGAGAGCCTGTGGATAGAGGATGAAGAGTGACATTGGACTAATTTTCTAGGTCAAAGGTCAGTATCAAAATGTACTGCATATCTTTATTCAAAGTCGTAGTCCAGAGTATATTTCTCCCTTGGTGTAATCTAGCTTAAATTTTAAAGAGACACATTAAATGCTGAAATCATCTGTATCATGGTCATGGAAAGTAATTATTGATATTGGTATATTAAAGAACATTGACTGATCTTTCAGATTTCTAAGTTATATTTGAGCATTATAATTCTAACACATCATATGATAATTTTGTATGAATATTACAGATCATAGGTGATGTGAAGAAAATACAAGGGAACTGATGTTGAAAGAAGTACTTAATGAAGCTTATGAATGGACTTATATGTGAAAGACTGTTCCATTGTTTATCTAAGATATATCAATTTATTTAGTATTTTGATATCATTGAAAAATACTGTTACAGTTTTTGTACATCAAATGAATTATCAAACATATAAAATGGTATTGCTTTTTTTTTTTTACATGTAATAATTTTTTTGATAGATTTTTGAAAAGAATACACATAATTTAACATCGCTTCGTTTAGAAAAGTTAGGGAATCTTGAAGTTTCCCAGTAATTTCAACCAGGAATGGGACTCCAGATAATTCCACCAAGTTTCCACCACACAGAAACTGCTACACAAATTCCATATAGTTTCCTGAGTCAATGAAACTTTAGTAATCGTAGGGTTTCACGAGCGTTCATGTAGTTTCCAGTAATAGGAAACCTTAAGATTCCGTCAAGTTTCCATTCCATGGAAGCCACTACGCTCCGATTCCTTGTGGTTTCCTGAGTCACGGAAACTTTAGAAATCGTGAGGTTTCCCAAGCTTCCATGTAGTTTCCCGTAAAAGGAAACCTAAAGATTCCACAAAGTTTCCATTCCACGGAAAACACTACGCTCAGATTCCATATGGTTTCCTGAGTCACGGAAACTTTAGGAATCACGAGGTTTCCCAAGCTTTCATGTAGTATCCCGTAAAAGGAAACCTAAAGATTCCACCAAGTTTCCATTCCACGGTAACCACTACGCTCCAATTCCATCAAGTTTCCTGATTCTGGAAACCAGTGGAATCTTCAGGTTTCCCATTTCGGGAAACTACCTGGATGCTTGGGAAACTTCAGGTTTACAGAGGTTTCCATGGTTCGGGATACCTTATGGAATCGGAGCAAAGTAGTTTCCGTGTAACGGAAACTTGGCGGAATAACCTGGCATCCGCTGCGGAAACCACTGGGAAACATGATGTAAACTTGAGGTTTCCATGTGGTTTCCATAAAGTTTCCCATGATGGGAAAACATTTTTTAACACAGTGGAATACCTAAATTTGAAGTCACAGAAATATTCTTTATATTTGCTTCATGTAATTGTAGAATGTCTCCACTAGTATCTTCATAATCCGATGGTAGGACAAGTGTGTAGTGAAAGTGAATTAGAGTCATTGCACAAATCACAGATTTTGAGCTTTGAACCTGAACATTCTGAATTTTTTCAGGTCGTGATGCATATTGTGGTTTATCCCATGAACATAAGACATCAGTTCCGATTAGTGTGTGTCTGTCTATGTATTTGAAAAAGAATATGGGGCGGAATTCATAAAACTTCTTATTATATTCTTAAGTTTATAGAAACCACTTAAATTATGTATATTTACTTAACTTCTCTTAGTTTTACTTAAATTTGGTAGAAATACTTAAGTGTAATTCATAAACATACTTACTGATTAAGTATTGATTTAAAGTTAAGTGTCCTTAGGAGGTGTCTTAAATAGGTGAGTATTTTTTAAGTAAATAAGTATTTTTTTAAGTTTTCTCTTATTTCTAAACAAAATGGCTGCTCGAAGAAGGAATTTTAGGGAAAGAAGAGATTATTTCAATGAATATTCAGATATGGAATTGGTTAAAAGGTTCAGACTTGATTCTGGTGGGATAAACTTTATTGAAAGATTGATTGGCAATGAAATAAGATCCACGTCCGTAAGGAACCACGCACTAACATCTGCAGAAAAGATTCTGTTAACCCTGAGGTTCCTAGCAAATGGAAAGATGCAACTTTGTAATGGGGATGATATGGGAGTTTCCCAATCTTCTATCTCTAGAGCAATATCTTGTACCATTAAAAGTTTGTCATTTATACAAATGGTGCGTAGATTTATCAATTTCCCTACATCACCAGATGAAATCAGACGTAACCAGGAACGATTTTTTCAGATAGCAGGATTCCCTGGGATTGTTGGTACCATAGATGTCACCCATGTTCAGATAATTGCACCTAGACAAAATGAGAATGATTTTGTCAATAGACATCATTACCACAGTTTAAATGTGCAAGTTGTGTTTGATTCCCAATACAAACTCATTGACAGTGTTGCAAAATGGCCCGGTTCGACCCACGATGCACGCATCTTAAATGCGAGTGGGCTTTGAGTCTTGTTTGAAAATGGTCACATTCCTGTTCATACGCATTTGTTGGGTGACAGTAGCTACCCATCTCGTAGATGGCTACTTACACCATTCAGAATTCCTCAGCCTGGTCCACAGACAAATTACAACAAATACGTATGATTCATTATCACCACCTTGCCTAAGCCCTAACTTGAAAAACATGATTATTATATATTTCTGACTTAAAAAGCACCAGCTTATGCTATGATTGAGCTATAGACTACATCATAAGTATACTTAGCCATACAAATTCATTCCTTATTATAAAAAAATCATAAAGAATGGTTTAAAAATGCATGCATTACCAAATTGTTTTGCTGTTGCATTCTGTGAAAAAAAAATACTGGCAATAAAATATACAAATATGATATGCCACAGAATCAATTTTTCTACGAGACATTTTTAAATTGCTTTAATTATTTACAGTGCACACAAAAGGACCAGGAGACTGTTGAAAGGGGGATAGGCCAGTTAGAACGCCACTTTCATGTTCTGCACGGGGAGATAAGAATGTCGCCTCAGAAGGCATAACAAGTTGTGATGGCATGCGCAGTCCTCCATAATATTTGTAAAGATCGACAAATTCCAATTCCTGATGATGATGACAGCAATGATACCAGTGATGATGAAGATAGTGGAGATGATACTGCTCAGAGTCATCATGTGCAAGCAAGAAATGATGGTGCTGCTAGAGGCAACAACATTAATGGCACATTGTACGGACAGCAGTTTGCTGCAACTCCCTTTTGACATTACAAATAAACAAAAGTTACAAAATCAACAATTAAGATTTAATATTCATGAACAAAATTCAACATGTAATAACAAATAATTCAGCTCATACTGACTTAATCAAGGTCAGATAAACATTAATGTATCTCAAAAAATATCATTCAAAATCTAACACACAATCTTTTTTTTATATTTTGGCAATTTCAGTTTAGTAAAATCTGTCTTTAAAGAGGAATACCGTATCAAAATTTTAATTGTTGGATCTTGAAAATTGTTTTTTCTACATTTTTTCAAATGACAAAGTTGACAAATGACATTTTATAGCTTAAAATTGGCTGTTAATGAATGCATAATGGAACAATTTAATTCAATAATATGAGAAATAGACATATAGACAATTATTTCTCTTTTATATTTTTAAATTTAGACATTTAAAAGAAAGTACTTGATAATATACTTTTTTTATTTATGTAAAGAAAAAAAATCTCGACAAAATTTAATACAAGGAAAATTTATGTAATAAAAATAATGTTTTTTAAGGAAAATTGTATAAATGACATTTTGAATTTAATGAAAATTCTTAATTATCAAATTTGAACAAATTTAGATTAAAATAAAAATGAATTAATCAAAACAGATACTTAAAAAGAAAACCATTTATATAACATTTTGGTTTGATATTCCCTATTTGTTTCAACATGTATTAAACTATCAAAAACTTCATTCTTCCAATTGACGCTTGAGGGTCTTTACTTTCAAATCAAAATACTCTATCTCTAATTTTAGCTTTTTAACAGTCATCTCCCCAATTAGATCTTGTGTGCTTTGAGGTGTTTTGCCTGACGTTATTGGTGCCCTGGATATTGTGTGGGGCAACCATTGGGGACCTCAGGCTCTGGGTTATCACAGGCTCTGGACACGTCAGTGTAGGAGCAGGTGATGACAACTCAACGGACGGTGGTAAAATGCTAGTTGTTGATGCTGATGCTGCACTGCTGGTACTTGCGTCTTGTGCAAACTGAATAGAACTGAAACAATAGAAAGACAATCAACTTTTATAATTATGCATGGTGTTTATTTTTTTTTTAAAGAAAAGTCTCATGATAACGGCTTCAAAAGCATAAACATTTCCTCATTAGTATCATTACAATATAAAATTTTATCCTGAATGCAAAAACAAACATTTTTGCTAGGGCCTAGCTGAGTTAAAAACAAATGATTTTATCAATTGATGAGAAGTCCATAAAGATTAAAATTTTTAATTTCTCCCACAAAGTTGAATATTTATAATTGAGTAAATAATATAAACTAACTGAAGAACAGTACTTTTATTTACCAAACATTTTCATCTGTCAGGAGGTGAAGAATGTGTGACGACTCTATGCCGCCGTCGATCCCATTTATAATGGAGTTATTCTCCCCGAGCACCATTTGTACTTTTTCCCCTATAGCACTTAAAGGTTTTGAGGGAGGTCATCCACCTATACATAACACAGAAGTTGATATTAAGCGAATCTGTATACATCTGTGAAGAATTAAATTTGTATATACATTTGGGAAATTAAATGTCAAATTCCTATTTGTAAAAGACATGTTTAGTCCAAATGTATTATACATATAAAAGATACAGTTAAATTCAGTTTTGCAGTTTTAAATAGTGTCATTATATTTAAAACAATTTTCCGCTTCATTCCAAATGTCTTTAATTTTTAATAAACCGCTTTTAATAAATGATTCAACATATAGACTTTTCCCTCGGAATTGTATAAGTTTATTTCCAAATAGTGAGAGGTTGAGTATTTCCTCTCGGTTCTCTGGCTCGAATTTTGACTGAAATTCGCTATATGCGATGAGTGCTTTTTTTTTATAAAAACTAGACATATTATTTAAGGACATTGGAGATAAATCTGAACAAGTGCATAAAATATATTCCTGACTTAAATGCATATCTTTACTCTGTAACCAGTATTTACCAATAGCATTCCATGTTTTAACTTTGAATGCATGATTTTATAAATTGTTTTTATTTGTTTACTTTTTATAAAGTTAAAGATATTTATCATGTTCATCCCTCCTTCATTCTTGCTTAAGCAGCACACATTTCTGTCATTTTTATTCAATTTATTATCCCAAATAAAAGACCAGACAATATCATTTATTTGTTTTGCATATATATCCGGTATTCCCCTCATTTCAATTTCATAACCAATAATTGGAATTATTAAATTTTTTATTATCAAAGTTTTTCCCTTTGAATGTAAGGTTCGTAGTTTTCCAGACATGCAAGCTGTTCATTATTTTTTCTATTTTTTCTAACCAAATTGCATTAGTATCAATACAATATCCATGATATACCCACAAAGTTTTTATATTAGTTTTTATCCACTGTATCTTTTTAAATTTTGGTGTTTTACCTTTTGATTTGCCAATAAGCAGACCCTTTGTTTTTGAGAAATTGATTTTTGCCCCTGAGGCTTTTTCATATATTTCTAACACATTGAAGGAATTTTTTATAGATTCTTCGTCCTTATTGAATAGCTGAGTATCGTCTGCGAAAATATTTATTTTGCATTCTATGTGTTGATGTTTATTTTGAATTAAAATGCCCTTTATCTGCGGATTTTGCCTAATTGCGCAGGCCATGGGCTCCATTTGAAGAACATAAAGCAATGGAGCAATAGGACAACCTTGTCTTGCCGATCTCGATATTGAAAAGTATTTTGATACAAAACCATTAGTTTTAATGCATGTCTTTGATTTAATAAGTAGCATCTTTATCCAATCGCAATATTTTTTACCAAAGTTAAATCTTTGTAATGTTGCTTCAATCCAACCCCATTCAATTCTATCAAACGCTTTTTGTTGATCTAGAAATATAATAGCCCCTTTCAAATCTTCATTATCAGCATAATCAATTATATCTTGAATCAGTCTGTTTGCGTCACTTATATTTCTACCCTTGACAAATCCTTTTTTGGTCTGGATGAATTAATTTTGGTAGTACTTTTTTAATCTCTCGGCGAGTATTTTAGCAATAATTTTATAATCATTGTTAAGCATTGTTAAAGGTCTCCAATTTTTGATATCTTCTCTTTCATTCCCTTTATGTATTAATGAAATGACTCCTTTTGTTTGTGAGTCACATAGTGTAGTCCTATGAAAGATGTGCTTTAGAACTTTTGAAAATTCATTTTTAATTATATCCCAGTATATCTGATAAAAAGTTGATAAAATCCCATCTTCACCGGGAGATTTATTTGGCTTTAATGACATCACTGCTTGATATATTTTTTTATCATTTATATCACTTTCGAGCATGTTTACTTCATAATCGTCTAACTTACAGTGCACTTGCACTACTCATAATTCCCCACTTTCGCTATCCCATCCTTCCGTATTCAATAATTTGTAAAAGAAATTAATTTGCTCTTCGATGATTGAATCAATGTCAGATCAAATCGTGTTGTGCCATTTCTTCACAACTTCCAAAGTTGTCCACGGAGTACTACTGGATGCGTTCAGCTGAACTGTCGCCTTCTCCCATGTTTCTTTTTTCATTTTTGATGTTACACATGATCCTAGCTTTGAACGGAGTATATTTTTATTTTCATTTTCTAATGTTACAATTTACAAACATTCTTCCTGCGTCCAATTCGGATTCATCTTTTTCCTCTGTTCTCCTCAGTCGCCATGTCGTCTGTATACGACTTGAACATATTTTAGCTCCTTCACATAAGAGCGCACTTTTTTGTTCTGGAATTTCTATGCGTTGCTAGGGTGATTGTACATAAGTTTGCTAATTTTCTGGCGTTAAATTTTGCTAAGAAGTGTGCTTAGAAGTTATATGAATTATTACTTAAGAATTTTACTTTACTAAAAATTTATTAGTACTTAAGTACAGGTCCACGTAAGAATCAGGCAGGAGGTGATACACGAGGTTCTCAGAAATGAATGATTTTTCACTCACAGATTTTCCTCGGGGTATAAGCCATGTATGTGGAAGGAAAAATAATTTCAGACATTGTTACTATGGAAACCTGGACAAAGACATTTCCTTAGCAACGGGCCAATTTTTCTTTATAGATTAATGAAATTTCACTCATTTTGAAGGCTTTGTACAAAAAATTTTAAAAAGTAATTCTTTTCTTCCTTAATGTCACAAGAAAGATAAACTCTTGAAGTGCTCTGACAATGTAATAAAAAGAAATTACATTCTCTAATATATATACTATAGATATAGCTAAAGGTAC